GCGAATTGGAGCTGAGTGCTTTGTCGCCAGCTTTGACACCTTGTCTACTAAGAGGTCCGTAAGTCGTCTGAGGAACATGAACCTCCCACCAGTTCCTCTGACGCTGCGACAGGCAGCTGAGAACCTGGACTTCTCTTATCTTGGTAAGTGAATTGTTTTGACGACACTTCAATATAACTGTAAAGTAAGATAAAAATTAATTTATTTGTTGAACAGGCGGGACACACAACATTTCCGCCAAGGCCTTGTGGGCAAACCAGTAAGGGAAGGTGGGGCCTATGTCCCTATTTGGAAAGTCTTCAGCAGGCAAAGTTTAGGCAATCTTGACTTTCTGAGTCAGTATGTCTCTATTGGACCTTCAGTCATAAGCAACCATTGAGAAACGCACAAAAATATAAGTGTCTTTTCAAAAATAATCTTCAGAAGTTTCCATGCATTTGGCCTTGTTGTAAGTAGAGTTTAAATGCCATCCTTTCTTCCCTTTTTCTTCATGGTATGACACTTCATCTTTCCAGGTTTTCCCATTTGCATATGCCATTATGACAGCCAAAATGACGACAGCACATGTGTCTGTCATTGAAAAGCTGAAAGAACTAGGGCTTTGTGCAAAAGTTGTGACGACAAACTGGGAACAGGCTGAGAAGAAGGCATGGAAGAGGGTGTTTTTAAGTATTACACTCTGGGAGTGCCTTTTCCATTACCAGTGTGTAAGTATTATTCAAAATTGGATTACATACTTTTAGAAATAATTCTGCCTTTATTCATAAGTCTTGGGAGTATGAGTATGAAGTTTTCAACATTACAGGTTATCTATAGACAGGCCAAGAAGAAGGGGTTGTTGCACCCCTTTAAAAAAGGGTGGCGACAATGAAGTGGCTCGCCTTCTGAAATTGGTTTTTGTCCTCCTTCGCCTTCCACCAAGAGAAATTAAGAAAAGATTTACAGCTATCAAAAGAGAGGCAGAAACCAGGCTGGAAGGGAGAATGGAGAGGAAAATGAACAAACTGTTCAAATACTTAGAAAACCAAATGGCTCGCCCGAACAACTCCTGAAGAACTCTCTGTCTTCGAGAAGAATGTAGTGGTGACGAAAGGTTTGGAGATTGTTAATGCCGGGATCAACGATCTCTTGCCCATTGAAGCCCCCTCCTTTCTGTATATTTCTTGGTAGGACACGTTATCTAATATTGCAGTTCATCCTCTTGGTACTAAACTGATATTTTTGATCTTTGACAGACTTGCTGAAGGATTTTGACAAAGAGATGTCTCATAAGCACGACGCGGCGGTACACCGTGGGTGGGTGTAGCGGGCCTTGGCGGTGGGGTGCTTCTCTGGAGGTCAATATAGTAACCCCCTCCTCCTACTGACCTGACGGGTCGCGCTGGCTTGCGCTGTGCGAGCGGCTTTGGCGCGCGCTGGCCCAGGTCGAATGTGAGTTATAGTCAGCCGGGCAGCCGCCGCAAGCTTATTTGCAGTTTTCCCCGCTCCCCCCTCATTTTCCCTCTTTCTCCCTCACCTTCCCTGTACTCTCCCTCTTTCTCTCTCTTCCTCCCCCTCCCTCTGTCGCCCCCCCCCCTCGCCCTGTTTCTCTTTTGTTTCTCTCGGACCATGAAGCAGGTCATTGTAGGGCCTGTCTCCGTCTTTGTCGCCCCCGCCGCACATCCCTCTCGCCAGGCCAGGCGTTGCCTTGTGGAAGGGGACCTACCGCAGCCCGTGCAACGCGCCTTTTGTGATGAGCTGTTAATGTGCGAGTGGTTTGTCGCGGAGAGAGGCGTGGCGAGGGCGGGGCGTGTGGAGAAACATATGAGGAGGGGGGAGGGGCGTTCTGCGGCACCCTTTAGTGCGCTGCATGTTGCACACGCAAGCGCCTTTTCACAGTTCGTTTGGGTTGGAGGTAAATACCCGCCGCGGTTCACACGCTCAGTAGCAAAGCCGCATACCTATCCGAGGGAGGGAGTTAGAGGGTGCGCGGTTCACATTCTTGAGCAGGGCAATTTGTAATACGCCAACAACTCTTCACATTTACACGTATCGAAAATATTTTTAAATATTTTCTTGGCGTTGTTATAGTTTTAGCGAAAACAACTTTTATTGACGTAAGACTGTCAGAACCCAAATATTTTTTATTTTTTTTAATGGGGTGGAGTTGATCAACTGTCTTTTGCATCACATGATCTTTCTAAATTAATTTTCGTCCTTTCAAAAACTACTTTGATTCAGGCACGGTGGTGCGAGTGCACGGGCGTGCTTTATTATGCGATATATCCAGATAGGTTTTGGAGACTCCACCAGGCGGCAGTATTAGTAGTAGTACATTCTCTGCACCTGGGTTCCCTGACATGAGGTCCATACTCGCCGCCCGGTGTCGCCTGGTGTATCCATCCTCGGGTACTGCCCGCCGACTGGTGTCGCACGGCGTTTCCAAAAGCATCACGACTGCGCAGGGGGAGGCTCGAGGCTCGGGCCGCCCGGTGGTAATTACCCGGCCGCAGCGCGGTGACGAGAAAGGTGATTCATTTCTCAATAAATTTGGCCGCCCGTCCCATTACCTCTTTTGTCAGGCGCTATATAATAGTCGTGTGTCCGCGACTCGTAAATGCGTGGCACAATGGCGGCAAAAGGAATCGTTTTGTTAGCTACGAACCGAGAGGAAGGGGGTTTATTGTTACTTATGTAGCGATATTTGCCGGCTGGATTGATAATTATTGAAGTACAGCCGGGGGGTAAAAAGGATGCCCAACCGTGCCCAACCCGAAACAAAGCAAGAACCTAAGGGAACGCCAAGAAAAACCGGGCCAAGTTTTCCCCAACAACCTTTTGGGGGGAAGAGAAGTGTAACCCGCCGGAAGCGTCGTGATAAGGATCGGCCTGCGGCTGCTGCTGCTTATGAAAATTCCACTTGACTAATTTTGTCTGCGTGGAACTTGGTTTAAAGTCGAGAACTGTTTTGGGACTGTTCCCAGCAGGGCCAGCGCGGCTGGGAGACTCCGCGCGTCAAGATTTTCGGTCCGGCAATAGTCCATCCCCGCTGTGAGATTGTTGTAGAGTATAACAAGCTCCATTCATATCCTGGAAGTGAACCGTTTGCATCCGGCGTTAGGACCGGGCAGAGCCATGGGCCGTTGTCGTCGGCCCCCCGCCCGCGTCGCTGCAAAGGGCTGCAGTCACACCCGACCGGGACGCCGCCTGTCTCCTTATCAACACATTCGGGGCCCGGGCTTGGCTAATGAGCTTCATTAACACACGTGGCGTGGCGGGGCGTGGCAGGTCTCGGTCAAAGGAACTGCAGGAGGAAGCGAATCTGAGAAGTTGGAAGCGGACCGGATTGGGTCTGGTCGGGCAGCGGGCGGAGCAGCAGCCGGCGGAGCAGCAGCGGGGTAACGTTCAAACCGTGTCGCCGTGCACCGGGCTGATAAAGGCGGAGAGGACACGTTTCTCTGGTTTTCTGTTCGCCCCAAGTTTCACGGGCGTTTTTTGTGCATGTCTATATCTGTTACACCTTGCGACAAAAATGGCACACAAACCACCATCTGTGACAACATCGTGCTATAACCTAATTAGGAAACGCCGCGTCTATTGAAATTTTTTAAAAGCATCGTGCAATTAAAGTTGACACGCGAGATGCAAATGCTAATAAAACATTGTCTGGCCACAGAGCGGGCTGAACGCGCCTTTATCGACGGACATGGCCACTCCATTAAATTATTGGGCAGTCGGACTGGGCAGGAGGCTACCGGGGCTTTGGGCACGGATGTCTTGTGAGGGAGGGGAGAAAAAAGGAGGGGGTGGGGCTGGCATTTAGCAGCTACTCGTAGGAACATTAAGCTACATCTGATGTATCTGTCCTTTTCTCTTTCTCGTAGGTATAGATAGAGCCTTTTACTTCCTCGGATCCTCCTCCTTCCCCATCAATTGAATGGCTATCTTTTCTACGTTTAGCGCTGGGAGAATTGAGTCGTTATGCTGCAACACGCCGGCCACAACTGTCTTTCATCACGGCGATCAAATAGCTATCAATAAGTCGCAACGACGAACGGTTCGGATGACTCATTCACATTGGGATTGTGGTTGGCCGCCTTTGGCCTTTCGGCTCACCGGCCTGCGGATGGGTGTCGGGCGAGATCCTGCGCGAGAGCTGTGGTGAGTGTTATGCAAATCGCTGTCGAGAAGGGTGGTCAATTTTAAATTAACATATTTTGTCTTTTCTTCAAGGCTGAAAATATAAATATCGAAAAGTGCACAGTTCTGCTTTTGGACGCGAAGGCTGTGCTACGACCGACGACCATATATTGCCAGGTAAGACCGAGGTGAGACGAACATGCTGCTGTCACATTTCCCACAGGCTGGTGTGAGCTGTGGGCCTAACGCTCTTGCTATTAAAACGCGCTCCCGTCGCCCCGTCGTGAGGGGTAGGCGAGGGGGTGGCAGCCATGATTGTCGAAATGACAGGCGGTGGATACAAATGATGGAAATTATCTCAAATATCGTGAGCTACGTGCATGACTGGGCCAGCCGTGGCGCCAGCGCTGTCGCCGCCAGGTCCCGTGTGTCGTCTTCCTGAATTCGGATGAGGCCGGGTGAGGGAAAGGGGGGGGGGAGAAGACCCCTCCTGAGGTGGGCACTGCGTGCACCCAAGGTTGGCAACCCGTTGTCCCCCCGCCCTCTCCCCCTCCCCAGGCATCCGCCCGAGGAAACTGCGACTCATCGGGGTTAACGACGACGCTCCGCAAGGCTTGCGTTCGAAAATGGAGCGTAATTTTGTTTTCCGGGGTTGGCAGTCCTGCTGAGCGGGACGCAACCCGGATAATTACTAACTGGCTGCAGCATTTTACGCCTGTTTACGTCCTAATCCCCGTCGGGGGAGGGGAGCAGGAGGAGGAGGAGGAGGGCGTTGTCATCATCAGTGTCATCACCGCGGTAGGCGGGGGGCGCGCGCCCACCCGGCCTGCGGGCGGAGAGGACTTTAACGACACATCTCTCGCGGTGCAATCGTTTTGCTGGAAAAGTACGTACCGAATGTAAATGCAGCGCGAACCGCGCG